CCTGCATGAACAGCTGGTGTGCCTGTGTGGTCACAATCTTTCCATGCTGGGGTGGAAAGGGAAGGGTTCAGAGGTTTTGATGAACACCTCTGAGGTAGATAAAAAAGGCTGGTAATTGAAACTGAAGCGGCAACAAATTTAGAGTCATTTGCTCAATGTAACCCTAATATTCATGCTCATGTTTTTCATTCTGACTAATCCATGTCCTCTGACACCGAGGCCATCTTCTTTCCATTAGCACGTTGTTATTGTTTCTGCCAATCTCTTTCCTGCGAGATCGGCGCTGCTCCACAGACACTGAATAAAGAAGTTTAAATCACCGACGTCGGCGAGCCTGCTTGCACTCGCGGAGGTAGTATGCATCAATCACCTCGCCAGTGTTGGGTGAATGTAATTTAAGCCTGAGCTCCTGCTTTGTCTCACTGAGTTTTATATCTCATTCACTTCTTCCCTGCCTTACTGTATTGTCTGAATGAATGTCTTTATCTCAGCCATGTGACCCATTGTTAGAGAGATATATAAGCCTATTTCCAGTCACAGGCCTGGCTTCTCCTCTCTGGTCTCCAGGGCTGTAAAGGCCCTCCAGCTGGACGGGCACTGCCACAGATCAACCCCTGGGCTAGCCCCTGGTCCTTGACACTCTTCTCTGATCAGCACTGCTCCTTCACAGGGCCCCCTACCCCTTCCTCTATCTTTACAACCAGGCAGGATAAGGTCAGGTTGTTGATCTTGACAATGAAAGAAAAACCTAATTGACTCTTCCTCTCTTCCTCCTCATCCCTCCAGCTTGTCTACAATGAGCCTTGAGGCTCTTTTTAGCCTGAAGCCATCTTTCTGTCAAGGGACATTATTCTCCTTTGGTCACAGCTTAAGAGGCTAGGTTTCTTCTCAGCAGGTAAAACTGGGCTGACAGTTGAAGAGAAGGCAGCTTTGATCTCCATCGTCTCCACGTTGCAGAACCAAGATGACAGGCAAGGGAGTCTTAGGAGCACTTTATTCCACCAAAGGTGCTGGAGAGAAAACACTCAGGCTTGTAAAACTGCCTGCAAATCCTGGCTCTCACATTCACTGAAGCCCAAACAATACCAAAGCTGGCCCCTCACTAGTCCCCTATAGTGTCTTCCAGAGAATAAGGGAGCCTCATTTCTCACCAGTGATGTGCCCTGTGTTACAGGCTCCATATGGAGGTGGTGTTTTATCATACTCTTGCCTGCCCCCATTAAATATCTATTTTTACCATAGCAGTCCGCTGTGGCCTCCTACATTATGACACACGAAAAACCTACGGCCAAGCATCACCTATAAAAAAGTAGCGATTAGTGGAGGATGCGCCAGGTGTGATCAATATAACCTGTAATGCGTTTTGCTAACATGGATTGAAGGTGCATTTGTAGCTACCCGTTGTGCCTTTTTATTCTATATCATTTTTTTAATATAAGTTTGATAGAGTTCAACAACAACAAAAAGCTGCAAGGGATGGACAAAATAACACATCACATTATATGTACAATATAAAAGAACATAATACCACAGCAACATTTTATAGCCTCTAAATCTGTAATAGTGTCTCAATGCCTCGCAGACATAGTTTCAATAAAACCTGAACATTTTAAGTAGGCTACTATATTGGATATGCCTTATATTGAGCAGGTGTTCCTGTAATTGTGTCCACCTACCAAATCTCTCAGTAAGGAATGAGACAGATATGACCTCATGTTATAGGACTAAATAATACCTAGATTTGTGATGTCACAAAAAGATGATGGGTAAGGATTAATGGGAAATGGTGGCAACACACTTCAACCACTGCATGCAGCACAGACAGTACTACAATGCCAACGTTAACATGTGCAGTTTTACTGACACGCAATCCAACAGACGGAATCTAATAAAAGCAAAAGTAATTAATGCTGCATGCAGGTTAAATGTGCTGAAATGTCCAGAATTGCATCAAGTCTTCATGTGGGAGTAAATTATAAGACAGCAAAATGAAAAGATGTAATAAATCTAGAGTGTAATTGCATTCACAGGCTACATACTTTAGCCCCTATCTCTTTTTATGTTTACTTGTCAATTAGCATTGAGTGTTGACATCAGCAGAAGTGAAAGGAAGTAAATACAGACAGGAAACTGGGTGAGTGTGTGGCATTTAAATTGGTAATTATAATTGTCTTGTTTCATTCTCTATCGTGTCAGTTATAGACACACTTTCCACTTGTTTTGATGTGTATTCTAATTTGTGCCACACATTAGTCAGTATGGAGAAAACGTGTGTGGAGGGAAGTTTCCCCTATCGGTGCGGCGCTGTAGTCGAACGACCCTATAGTAATGTGTCAGCCAAAAGCACTCCATCCTTACCCCTTGCACCGGGGGAATAGGGAAAGGGGGGACGAGAGGATAGGTAAACAGAGCCATTAGAGACAAATCTATTTCTGAAGAAAACAAAATCACATCATCAAACAAGAGAAAAAGAAAAATATGATCCTGCAGCCCTCTGGGCCCCGGCGTAGCAATGATAGCCGACTATGGCATTTGTCTTTATCAGCCTGCCTTGAGGGAGGGAGAGTGTGGTGGGAAGGTGTGAGAATGAAAAGAGAATGAGAAAGACAATGGAAGCAAAGAGCACGGCGTCTTCTTCACTCGTCACAAAGAGCTAGACACGTTTGTTACTGTTGTTGACTTCTAAGACGTGAGCGGCTTGTGTATGATTATTCCGCTTTCATACATGTTTTGTGGTTTCGCTGTCTGTGAGAAGTGGCTCTCCGATGGTCATTCTTTAAATATAACAGAGTGAAGGGCTCGGTGGACAGCGAGCCACGGTATCATCAGTCATGACCAGCCTGGGGAGGCATACGCAGCTTCATCAAAATGACAAGATTGACTTTCCCGATTTTATCCTTTCTCTGTGACATTTGGTTGTTTATTCTGCTGCACAGTAGCAGCACCAGAGTGTCTTTATAGTGCCTTGTGTATTGAGAGACTCTTTAAATAGATATATATGTTCAAGCAGACTATGTTGACCTTAAAATTGAAATATATAACATGTAATAAACATGAGTATCTGTCGACGTGACAACTGCCTCTATGTTATATTTAAGGCATTTTTTTCTATCAGATACTGCCATTTAACCAATAAGTAGTATTAACACGACTAATCTGCATGCATGCTAGCAGCTCTGTAGGAGGGTACTTAGGAACAGTGGTGCTTTGGGCTAAATACTAATGGCGTCAAGCTAACATGATGATGTTAAGCAGGGGTAATCTTTACTTTGGTAACCATCTTAGTTAAGCTTCATCAACATGCTAGCATTAGAACATTAGCACTGAACATGAAGTGCAGCTGAGGCTGATGGGGATGTTTTGAAGTTGACGAACCAATTAACTGGACAAATTAAAACTTTGACATGAGGATGACACTTTATGAAAGGTTAAAGGGATCACAAAAGTTATTACAATTTATCCAGAGGGGATATTAGTGTCTGTATTCATAGGATTTCTAGCAATCCATCCAATAGCTGTTGTGACATTTCACTCAAAACAACCGTTATTAAGCTCACGTTAGGGCTAGGAAAATGTCAGATGATCATTAAAGTTATTCGGTGTCATGTTCTAGGGACCTCTAATGTCTGTACAAAATGAAATGGCAATAAATCAAATATTTATTGGGTTATTTCAGAGAGGAGAATCGGGTATATTTGCTTCTGGGCATCAGATGGACTGGATTTTAATCTGAGAATCTCCTCCAAAATCACGCCTTTATTTGCCCTCCATCTTGGCTGGGCTGCATTATAGCCTTTCTGCATAGCTGAAGCCAAGTCTTTACAGATGCTCCGTCATTTCCTCTCTCCAATGGCAGTCATTTTTCAGTCTTTTTTTATTATTATTATCTTCCCAGAGCGGGCACTCTCTGAGGGAGGCCTGTTTGTGCTGAAGCCAGGCTCGCAGCTACAGTATTTAGCGGCTCGGCTGTTTTCTTTTCTTCTCCCTCCGTTCGGTTTGAAAACCCCAGGGAAATTTGGCTGTGTCTCTGATATTTTCGTCCTGCTGACCAGTTTGTATTCCTTCTCATCAATTTGCAGTTTGCCAACATACTGTAACTCACTTTGATGTCTAATTGTCTTCAAAGTTATTTGAGTGTAAAAAAAGATCATCAAAAAGTTATACAGAAATATGTGGCGTGCAAGTTTTTCAATTTGCCTCTATTTGAAATATACTGAATTCTTAGACATTAAGTAGTTATAGAATATTAAATCAAACGCATCAGAACATCAGACATCTGAGCAATGTGTAGCAGAAGGCAAGGGGGTGGGATAGTTAGCGCCAACATCCTCTTAATGCTGTGCCAATGCTCTATGAGTGAAATGACAACACGGTCTTATGTGCCTGCGTAGCTATCTGCCATCTGGACTCAATTGAATGAGTCAAGTGTCTTAATTGGACACTAGTAAAGCAGCTCATACTCTGCTCACATTGAGTAATGGTTCACAATAATTTCTCTAAATATCCCTCTATTTCTGAGTCAAAAGTTATACAGAGACAATATGACGAGCCTTACGAGGATGACGTTGGAACCATATTTCACTTCCTGTTCTGCAGTATGGATAACTCTTGTTCTTTTATGATAATCAAATCGAGTCCTATATCACACCCTTAACATTTGTCTTAAGGGGCTTTACACCCTATGTCCTTAGACCCTTGAGGCGTACAAGTACAAATCTCGGAACAAAATGGAAGAAAAGAAGAGGCATCCCTCCCCCAGGACGGACCAATGTGCAATAGATGTTTGTTTAAAAACATAGACAATCCATATGACCGTATGTACAGAAAAGATAGATTCAGGTGTATTTCAAAAACTGTCCACGTGCTGCCAAAAATATCGAAATGGTCAAATAATAGTGATGGATACATTAGTGACAGTTGCGCTCCGATTTTAACTCTGCAAGAGTGAATAATGAGGCTGTCCCCTTTCTGCCCTCCCCTCTCTCTGCCCTTTGCTTCAGGTCAGAACATGGCGTTCCCCCCGGTCGCTCTGTGGGTCACTGTTGGCCTGGCCGTCTGTCTGCTGGTGCTGCTCATCGCCCTGGCTGCTGTCTGCAGCAGGAAGATCAAGGAGAGCTGCGAGGAGGCCAGGAGAGAAGGTACAGGGAGAGAAAGAGAGAGGGGGGGGGGAGGGAGGCTCTGCACATTCAGCACTGGAGTATATTCTCACAAGTCATTGGTGATGACTTGAAAAGCCATGGTTAATCCTTAAAATGAGATAAAACCATGTTTTTTGGCCTTCATTAATGGCAATATAAAATTTCAGAACGTTGCAGCTATTTGTACAAAATAATAAAATATTTCTTGATTCTTTCTTGGACAGTGTTAGCCTACATACACAGTTCAAGGGCTTGCTGAATAATGGATGCTAACCTATCAAGCTCTCTGGCAGGGCCTCTAATAAATGCAGAATGACTCCTCTAAGCACATAGTGGGTCAGTAATTGATATGCATAATTGCGACATGTTGCCTTGATGATGTGGGAGGCACAAGAAGAGCGGTGAGAGAGATAGCAGCAGAAAGCAGTGATGAGATGTTAACTGCTCAAGGAACTTTGGGAATCCAGAGGGGGTTCTGCTTAATGTGCAGAGGCAGGATCTCGGATGGTGGGACACATATCTTCAGCAGGAAGGGACATCATTACTCGGGTCCAGTAATTAGCGGTGCAGAATGGCTGAGGATCGCCGCAAGTGCAAAGAGAAAAAGTTTTGAAATGAGATAGATAGTGCAGAGCCACCAGCTCTGCTGTAATGAGATCCGCTCATAGTGGAGGAGACATTTAAATAAAGGTCAGCCAGTGTCTGCACCAGGGCCCAGAGGTTTAAAATAAATATGGAAGTGACACAGACTCAGAGGAAAGAGTAAATAGCTCCATGAAACATATGAAATCAAATGAAATGGAAAGAGAGAAATATAATGCAGTTCCTCCCATGGGTCAATAGGCTCCTAGGGTTGTTGGGCCCTTTTATTCAGTGTGTGGGGGGGGTGTAAGAGCTACGATTTCTGCCTGCTCCGAAGGCGGGATTGATTATGTGGTCAACCACTGTCCGCCTTGTTGAAATGTTAAGTCTTATTCTCTACCCTGCAGGCAATTCTTCTGCAGTGTTTGGTCTTTTCCAAGCACGAAACTGAAGAGTGGGAACGTCGATTTATTCACACATCATGCAGACTCTTCTGATACAATGATACTGTATGAATACAGATGTGGCAGGGCTTAAAATAGGATTGTTAAGCACATATCCAGAGCTGAGGGGAGGACAGGAAGCAGGGAAGTGCAACCTAATTGTAGTTGTCTTATCTTTTAATGGCGTTGCCGGCTATGGTCAGATTGAAGTTGACTCTCTCTTAACCGTGTCTGGGTAGTGAGGGTCAGTAAGAGTGGAGAAGGGAGTAAGTCATTTTTCTTACCTGTCATAATGTATTTGGAGCACCCAATATCGCAACAGAGCCGAGTCGCTTGTGGAAGCTCAATTCCAGAGGCAGTGTTGTATCTAAACACCAGCATGGTTCAGTTCTTTTTTACATAATGGTTATGAATCTAATATATGCTTTCAGTGACCTATCCGGTGCCGCTGTTCCATTTCTCCGAAGCATATTTTACATTTAGATAAGCATATGATTTAATCAGACTTACGCTCGGAGCTCATCGGTAGGTGACATGGGACGGATCTCCCCTGTGTGATGGATGAAAGTCATGAGGGAAAGTCATGAGGGAAGCAGTGTTACCCCTCGGGGGGGTTTGAGCGCATTGGTGCACATTTTCACAGGGGTGAAGCCTCAGCTCTACCAAAGACCAAATGCCTTAGAATAGATAATTCACCTTTGTGTGCATGGGACTCACATTAAATAACTCATACGTAGATTCTTTCACATCACATCTATGTAGCAAATGTTCATAAAAGCAGAAGTAAATTCCTTTTTTTTTCAAAGTTTTTTCAAATTAGCTAAATAGTTTCATTTTTGTCATCAAGAGTTGGTATTCGCAGGGAGAGAAAATGAATTAAATCCAGATCAGCACAAACTCCGGCGACATTAATACGGCTCCGCTGTTTCTTGGGTGCAAGAATGAATGAATTAGTCTCACTAATCAGTGTATTTATAGTACTATAAGTTTACTGAGAGGACATTTGCCTTTGCTTACATTTGTAACAGTCATGATGTAACAGCAGTGTTTAAAGAGATTCAGCCGCAGCCGTGCTGCACCACTTCTCTGTGGGGGAAACACAGAGGCAGAAGGGAGGATGATGAGAAACAGTAACACTCTTCTGGCTTCACTGAGTAGCTTTCTTTCCCCCGACTCTCTCGTCTTTTATGTGGTTTGTCCAGCTTTTGTGCTTAAGCCATAACCGCTCTACTCCTTACCCCCACACATCTGGGAAGCAGCCAACAGGGGCATAACATTGTAACACTCTCAATGTACAAGGGAAGCAGTTCTCACTCCCTGACCTGTGGATGCCCTCGCCTTCACCCTTACTTTAAGGTGCCTTTTAAATGAGCTTCACTATCCTATCAAAGCCCCGTCCCCCGAGGTGGTTCCACTGCCGCCACAGTGGAGGGGCTCGTGGTTGATTTGCAGGTGTTGAATGAAGCAGTGAAGGTTAACAGGCTCACACATCTATATGAATGTTACACCACAGTGCTGGAGAAGTGAAATAGTGGTATATGTTGCTTTCTCCAAGGTGTTTTTCTCGATTTGACTCTCAAAGTGCATTATTAAGAAGATAACTCACACAGGTATTGTAGACATTCTGTTTTAAGTTTGCAACAAAATCATCATCTTGTCTACCAAAACAACATTTTAGAACATATGCCCAAAGCTATATTTTACTCTGACTAAATAAATAATACAGTTTTTGTACCTTTTATAAAAAAATCCTATTTCGGGCTGCCATATAATAGCTCAGTTTGTAGAGCTGGCGGCCCATTTAGGGGCTAGGTCCCAGTGTGGAGGACCCTGGTTCGGATCTGGCCTGGGACCCTTTGCCATGTCTCATGCCATCTGTCTCCCCCATTCAACGCTAAGACTTGAATAAAGGCACTGTTGTGAATAAACATATAAAAAAAAAAAATCTCATTTCATTATACAACATTACACAGAGGAGAAACTAAAGAATGTGATGTGAGGCTGTTTGAATAGAGAAAAGACAGGGAATCAGGCAAACGTATAGGAATACAAACAAATGACTTGTACTGCCTTGACATTTAATTTTGCTCAATAACCAGTTTAATCTCATGTATCAGACTCGAAGTATTCAATTTCAAGCCCAATCGATGTGATATGTGTCATATAATTAATATCAGGCGCTCGAATGCTCTGATCTATTTTTAGCCTGTGTGTGTGTAGATGCATGCCATGTGTGTGTGTATGTAAGTGTGACAGCCATCACTGGTTTGCCTCCCTAACTCTGTTGACAGTGGGTTTTCAGAGAGCCAGCAGCTAAAGCCTAATGTGATTACTGTCTTTGCAAAAGAGCTGGATGGGAGGTTAAAGGGTGGGGTACGGCTCTGTGAGTATGTGCGTGTGTTTTTGATGCGGCGGGGGGGGAATTGTGCGGAGCTTCGTGGTCATATAGCTCTCTCACCACAGCTTGTCCTTTGAGCTGTGAGGGATCAGCTCACCATAGGCTTGTGAAGAAGTGACTGCATTGCGTGCCTGCCTTTGTACTGTGGCTCTCTCTGATAATGGCTCCTCTGTCTCCCCACAGCTGAAGAGGCCAAGGAACTGGAAGAAGAGGAGTCAAAGACAGGTCAGCAAATCCACACCTGGTCAAGCCTCAGCCTCTGCGTGCATCAGAGATCTGCTTTGTGTTTTAGCTTGCACTGATGAGGGGAGTTAGTGACAAAAGCTGGTCAGGGAACAGCTGGAAATCCAGTTATGAACCCTTCTACTGTATAAGAGACATATTTAATCCATTTAAAAATATTCCATAAATATATATTTGTCTTATGGCACAATACTTTAAAATAGCTACTGTATATAAACAAATATAAATATTACCATCATTCTATTCGGTTTGAAACCCTACAATCACATTTCTAAAATAAATACAAATAATAATAAATGATCCCTAGAACATTTTACATTTGTGGTTTTCCAGGAGGTTCTGTGGATAACAACTTAATCTAAAATCTCCTTCTTGGAATGTTATATTGTTGCAAGACTATAACATACTGTATGTATGTGGATCAGAATTTACCCTATTTTTGATTATTTGCTGGTTTGGTTTGATGCGATTCCACAGCATTGAACACAGTTAAAGTTACAAATCCTTTAGAAGAAACTGATGTTGAAATGTGTTTAATATTTAGCATTCACCACTTGGAGGGGTGCAACCATGCACGGCTGTAAACACTGTCAGGAACAGGCAACGGAGCATTTCATCCACTGAAGGGTGGATCAAGCGGGAAGACCAGACTGTACACAGGGCAATTAGTTTAACACGTGCAAAATCTCTTTGACATCTTAATCTACATTTTTCGAACAATTGGGTTATATTCTTTACATCTACTGTGCAAACTAAGCTTTGAGGTCACAACAAATATCAAATCACCCACAGTTTAGCCTCTTTTTAAAGAGCCCAGGTGGCAGGATGGTAGGGACCCAACAGAACAAGTAACTGAATGTTAAGTTTGTTTACTGAAGAGTGAGTGAATGCTGATGAAGCATGAGTGCATGTGAGAAAAGAGACATGCTCCAGGCACCAAATCCATTCAACACACTCACCCAGTGGCACAAGTCTTCCGCTGTGAGTGTGTGTTTGTGGGTTTGAGGCAGAGAGAGAAAGACTGGCGCACTAATTTAGTGATGCCAACAAGCTGTTTTACATTATACATTCCCCTAAAGCTATAGCTATAACACTGAAATCTATCTGTCTATAAATTCAATGGTAACAAGTTCCTCAAGTTCCAAGTTTCACAAAATGCCAACAATAGTGCTGCCGTGTCCTGAACTTAAACGATCATTTTCCCCAAGCCAAATTGATTTTTCTCTCCAGTCCAGGCTGAAATGTGTTATGCATATTATTGTCACTTTGAACACGTTGCATTTTTATGACGAATCATCCAGCAGAGTGGACAGACATCACCTGTGACAGCCCTCGCACCGCTTAATGCTTCACCGATTCTGACAGGTCACTCTTCTTTAAAATCTAACAAGTTTGAATCACTCTCAAATGTTTTTCATATCTATTTTTTGCCCCTTGGTAAAAATATATTACACAAAGTCCTGCATTAAACCAGGAAATAAAAATGAACAAGATTAAGAGTCGACAGACATGCTGTGTTCCCTTTTAGACTGCATTAAGTAAAGTTGTGCTTCCAGCTAAATGGTCATATTAATATGCTAACAATGACAATGCTAATATTATGATATTTAGCAAGTTTAATGTTTCAAAGAAAATAGTAAACAGCTTTACTTTTTGCTTTGGGCTAGATACACATGCTGACATGCTCACACAGTAGCAACAATGGTAACAAGCCGATGTTTAGCATGATTGTCAACTTAGTGTAGCATGTTAGCACGGACACATTTGCTAATATGCTTCAAACACAAAGTGCAGCTGTATATGCTGAGTGTAGAGCTTCATGTCTACATGACGGGCAAAATAGTGGTATTAAACTTTTCATCTAAGGCTTGGCAAAAAAGCAAATTAGCATATTTCTTAATGTCAAACTATTCCTTTTATACCTATTCAGTATATTTCACCTATTTGAAGAAATTGCTTTAAGTTCAGATTTGAAAAGGGTTATAGGTTTTACTCAGAATTCGTCTTTTGCTTTTCATAACACTAGCGAAGCAGGACAAAATAATTCTGTGTGTGCTTCTTTTTTTTGTGATGAGAGTAATTTGATATTTTGCTTACTGTGACCTTATGAGTCCAGAATTAATTTCCCCATTAGCAAGCAGAGCAAGCTTCTTTTGCCGGTCCAGCCTCAGTGGCTACCCTCACAGTCCTGAGCAGTTCTCCCTCAAGCGTTAATGTCATTAGAGTTATTCATTTGACTCCTTCTTTAGTCTGATTGAATTATTTAGCCTTTCTGTGAACGGCAAAGTTAATACCATGTGATTTTAATAAGCTGAGAGGTGAAGGAGAGTCTCTGAGTGAAGGGGGACAATGACTTTCACTCTCTAATGCCTCTCTCATGAATGTTTCAGAAAGATCTGTGCAGCCCGAAGCGGGGTCAGCCATCCCACAACTAGTTAGACTTATGGTGCATTAACACTGCATTGTGAGGACCGGCTCTACTGAACTGGACTCACTTGGAACTATCCTTTTTTGGGGTTTTCAATTAGCAAAAGTTGTCGATAATACACTTTTTTGGCATCACGTTGGAAGTGAGCTGAGCCCATACTAGAACATGGAGTTAAAAAAACTGCAGATGATCCTTCTGAGAAAATGTTCACTAGTTAAAGGTGGGGTAGGTAATTTTGGAGAAACCAGCTCGAGATCGCTAGAATTTGAAAATACACAACCGGAAAAAATCAGCCACTTCCGTACAGAGCCCCTCCTCCAACACACACGAACGCGCACATGACCAATGAGGGCACGGGATAAGTTTGTGCACAGATGTAAGGCTGACAGGCAGGTAGGCCATCCAGTTATTTTAGCCGGGCCGGCTCAGATGATTGGTCGTGCTTTTTACAGTACTACGGCTTCCACAGATGACATTTTTTTATGGATTTTTTGTCAAAGCACTTAAGATATTCATTGCTATCGGGATGTTAAGAGCATTCCATGGAATATAACAAAAAGTGTATCTCGAGCCGGTTTCTCAAACTTACCTACCCTACCTTTAAACACGGAACGCACTGCACTAACCAGCCATCTTTACATAGCCCAGCTACCGCCAAATACAACCACAATTATTGCTATTTAAAAAGGCATCTAACCAAATCCTGTACATTCTTGACCTCTCTGTCGTGGATAAAAGGATACAGAAAGTGTTGAGTTAAATATGATGTCACTACATACTATGATGGTTAGATTAAAACACTGCCTACACCGTGGGGGAACTAACTGCAGAGGAAACTGAACAGTACCTGGTACCATAAGTGAGTTAAAACTAACTCTGCAGTGGTAATGAGGCATAAATAGTTCAGATTTAGCTGAAAGGAAAGGGCAAAGGACTGAGCCTGGAGACTTGTGTACGCCTGTACTCCAGTGACAAGACAGAAACTTGCAGCCCCCCCTCGCTCTTGCTGCCTCTCGTCATGCACCTGGTTGATCCAGGTGGACGTTGTGGGCGGTGAACTGGTGAAATCAAGCTAATGGCTGTGCCTTCTGAGATCACTATGTAAGCACTCTAGACAGGAAGCTTTGTTTTGCCATCTGGCTCCAATTGCGCTGACAAAGGCAGAGGTTCCTGCATGAGACAAAGGAGCTGAAATGAGCCCCACTTTAATAAACCCAGGATGATGGGGAGCCACGTTTGTGTGTTATCTTAATGAGCTGTCCAAAGGAGAGCGCGCCTCCCCTTTCAAAGCCAGCCTGATTCTAACAATAACCAGTGATAACTAGGGACCTGGGCGCTTTCAGTTGCAATGGGGTAGGATCCCTTTGTTGCCTTTACAGTGGAGGCAAATAATGTTTAACAAACACTGGAGCTCAAATTCTGGATTTATATGCAGGTGCCAAAGCCAAGAGCATCCCCTTCACACTCACTCACAGGTCCACACAAATGCAAAGGGATGCACACACCACTTGCTGATAGAGAAGCAATGTTACACACTAATCTACATCCACACAGATGTGCAGTACAGTGCTGGTTTCCTCCCTCACCTCCCCACCTCTTCCCTGAAATGTGTGTTCAGTAATCTGAGCATGATGTGCTGTTTAGAGGAGGCTGCAGTCACGCAAGTGCAGCTCCTCCTGTCAGAAGCTGGCTTTAGTTTGTGTGCAGTAGCCCCTGTCTCTCCCTAAATCCTGGACTCCAAGGAGTCAGGCCTTAGCAACCATCTCTGGAAGAGTGTTAGTCGGTGACCCAGTTCTTTTATAGACAAAGAATTGTCGGAAAGAACAATTTGACACGCCCTTTGAAAAGGGAGCTCCATGCCAAAAACGGTTTTATTAACCCTTCTTAACCGAGCCAAGGTCCCGTGAAGGTGGGAAGAGTGGGCTTTATAAGGCTTGAATGCACAAGGACGCCCCTCCCTTTACCACATTCTGGTTCCTTCACGCCAAGGCCACCACTGAAAGTTGCTCAAATCATATTAAAGCTTCAAGCCCAGTAGCTCATCTCCGTAAATGATTTTAAGAAGCCAGCTAGCTAAGAATGTGTAAAGGTGACTCTAGAGCAGACAGACAGAAACAAGGACAGCTGTACCAGTCAAAGTCACCTCTGCGCTTATTATATCCCCCCTCTATCTTGTCTATTGAGTTATTCACATAGCAATGAAAATACAGCACCCTAATGCGTGAGGAACAAATTCACCCTGTGTCTGTCATGGCAATCTAAGTGTAGCATCTTTACTGCTTCATTCAAGATGTTTAAATATGTCTGTATGGTTCAATTGCTGTCTCGTGGAATATTATCCATTAAACATAGAGTTAATTTGACTATAGTTAGGCCATTTCTTATCCTTTATGTCCATTTAACCATAACAATTGGAAAAAGGAAATTGGATAATTGCAAGCAGCCAACAACGACTGGAGAAATAAATGTAATACATTTGGTTTCTTAAAATCTGGTTGTTTTTTTAGATCTTTTAATGATTTCTAATTACTTCAAAGGCACCTTAGAGCAATGATTTTTCAATCGGGCCCTGTTTTTTGTGGTTTCAAAACGTATTCACTAGCATTTGGTGGCAGTAACGTACCAACAAATTCAGCAAGATTCCAGCAAATGCAGTAAAGAAGACTATTGCTTGCAAGAAAACAAGGATGTAAACAATACAAATATTTCAGATATCTTTTTAAATTGGCTTTGCAGATGTGGAAGAAATGCGCTCGACATGTCCGCTGGGCCTCAGGGAAACACCTCAGGAGTTATAATGGCACACTGAAAAACTTCTTGGACACATGGCATTAACAAACCAAGGCTTATTAAAAGTTGCAAACCGTGTTCTTTACATAACCCAGTTTGACAGACCTGCAGGTCACTAACATACCACTCCACATTGCTAGTTTGAATTGATAGGGCCTTGGAAAGCAGCCCCCAGGCGGCTCGGCTTGACATGCTCTCCCTTTTCACTGGCAGCACACACTCAGCCACTGGGCACTCCCAACGGTCACACATTACCAACTAAAGATATGTAAATAGAACATTCATGTTGCCTTCATTATTAGATGTGGGTCACCGGATAACTTCAAGAGCACTAATTAAAAGAGCTCCCAGCACACCATTGCTTAGTAGTTGCGCACACATTACTCAAGCACTGCACTCATGTTGCCTGCTGGTTCAGCACCATACAGTCAGCTGCATGTTTACTACTGTGTTCTCTCTGTGTCCAACCCCGAAAGATGCTGTTTTGGTGTTGAAGGCCAAGAACATGTGTTCGTTAACAATGGGAATTATAAATTGCACAAATGATAAACATACATGTAGCTTTCACATAACCAGAACTCTCTAATTATGTGCAAATAGGTGTTTCCTGTAGATGCTGTTCTCCCTTCTTGCTATAGATAACTTCAATGTGAGAATGATGAGATTTCCAAATAAAATTCCAAGTTGCTGGCAAACATTGTCTTTAGTTCAAGGAAGGAAGTCCTGAAAGACTTGCAGCACTGTTTGCAACCTCTGGAAGGTTATCTGCTGGCCCGTTGAGGAAAAGGCCACCTGATCATTGTCAAAACAAATGTAGGAAAAATAACAGCTCCTAAATCATTTGGAATAATGAGTGTTGTCACCGTTAATAAAAGCAGTCAAACGCCCTCAGTGTGCAACAGTATAAAAGGAGCTTTGGTGAGAGGACAGGGGAACTTTAGGAGTGAAGGCAATCCTTTTCCTGGGATGAATCCCCCTGTACCAACGCCATTTACATCCTCCTGCCACCCAAACCCCCCCTCATCCCCCCTTCTGTCATGTAATCTACGCTCCTCTGACAGCACAGCCAAGGCCCGGTGGGAGAGTGCCTATCCATCTCACTACCCCAATCTGCCTCCCCTGTTTGGTTCCACATGAGCACTCAGCTGCTGTGACTAATTAAATAAAGCGCTGTGCCCTCTGCTTCCTGTTAGCCATGGCAAGGTTGGTGCACAGAGATGGAGCAGAGGAGGAGGGAGAGGGGGGGTGCTGAAGGAGGAGGGGACTCAATAACAACCACCAAGCCTGTAATGATGCTCTGGTCCTTAAGACAATACACAAAGTTATGTTGAAAGAATATTGCTTTTATTTTTACTTTTTTTGTTTTTAAGAAGGGGCAGGTAAAATAAGATGTTCTTCTCTCTGCTCCTTTTCACCATGCGCTATAAAAAACTAAAAAAACAACCAGTATAAGTGTACACGTTTTGTAAAGTGTACATGTTTACTTTCTTAAAGTGTATTAAACAAGACTTCCCACAGTCTCTTTTAGATCCAACTTCTCCAATTCTTTGGCATGTGCTGGAATATTTGCACACAACACAACCCCTGTCCATATATAGTGTTTAGGGGGTGTTACTTATGCTAATAATACACAACAAGCCACATACCTCTTATTTTTGATCTAGTATGATTCGTCATACAACACACCTGGGTAAACATGTTTTAGCATGATTTTAAACATTTGGTGTGTTTGGACTTTTTTAGCTTTCTTAACCCAACATTAAGAAAAGTTCAACAAAATGTTGTCCATTGAGTAAAAATGACATCTTACCCCTTGTGATACAATACAATAACTGCCATGTGTGGAATAAACAAATAAATAAATGTTGATGCTTACATGACTTAGTTGAATTCCTCTCAGATCGTTAAAAGTTGCACCATTTTGATCTTATTCTTTTTTTTCTTTCAGCCATGACGCTCCTGAATAGCTAAAGTCCAGAGATAAAAGGTGAGTGTGATTGCATTATGAATATCTGTGTGTTAAATGCAGCTGTGTGTTTTATTTGTTGTCACACTTTTTCTCGCTTATCACAATTGCCTTGTGTTCTCAGCCGTAATTCTCTGGAGGACACAGGGCCTCTGTAGGTTATGGGTAAGTGCTGCTGTAATGAGGCTCCGCTGCATTCATTTAGCAGACAGTCGGGGAATATTAGAAGTCTTGACATTTTGATTTCAGGAATCACAGGGTCACTGGCTGATATGACAAATCTATTTTATTTTATCATGCATGCACACATAAATTCCCCCGGCCTGCTCAAAGCTGTAAGAGTCCAATTAATGGTAAACATTTAATGTGGGAGTCATTTCTTTCTATTTCCTGCTGTGTATAACTTCATGTTCAGTGCCAGCGGGACTGTGAAGAGCTGGAGTTGACCATTACATCATAAAGTTAAGAACATAGTTTTAATGGATTCAAGCAATGTGTCCCAGATTCTGGTGGATGTTTGTCAAATCCTCATTTCATCAATGTAAATGCAAGATTCAAATATAACAAGTATTTGATGAGAAAAAGACATTCTCTGCTACTTAAACGGTAAAAAAAAGTCTGCTTTGTTCCTGTTGACATTGGTCAAACTTTATCACTACTATGTCATGCTAAAATATAAATCTACTTTGTAGTTTTACTTTTTTATGTTGACAAGAAGACAACCCCCCCACCCCCAACTCGCTGTTTAGCCCTTGAGTAGTAATCAAGAAATGGGTCAGTGACATTTCATAAGAACTGAATATCAATATTATCGATCAAACTCAAATCTATAGACATATAGCAATGTATAAAACAGGCCCACCTAATAGTAAAGCAAAGCATACATTATGGTATCAATTGATGGCAATGTGTAGGAGTAATTTATGCTTATTTAAATATCATATATATTAAAGGAGACCTATGATGCAAAATACACTTTTTGATGTCTTTTATACATAAATATTTGTGTGTCGGGGAACTCACGCAGCGTCAGAAAATAAACCCTCTCTCTTTTCCTCCGTACCCACATCTTTTAAAAACGGGGGTACAACGAGCGGACACAGATTTGCTGCCGATATGACGTCAAATCGGCGGCGGACCCACAGAAAGTTGCTATCAGAAACAATGTCTGACGTGTTTTGGACGTAATATGGTCTTTGTTTACATTAGCAAGCATCGCTAACACTCAGAGCTAACCTCTACTGTAGAGCACATTTTTTAAAAGCAGGAAATAAAAAAAGGAACTCACCTAGTGATAAACCTGCAGGAACCTCATTGGTAGATAACCCTTAAAAGAATATATACCACAGATGGTGGCAACTCTGGAGTACCTGACCAGGTTTCATGCTTTTTCCTGCCTGCTGATATGCATCTCCCTCTCTGTTTGTGACCCCCTGCTGAGCGCATTAAAAAGGTGGAGGTGGACCATTTTGCTGGAGTGGGGATTGACTCACCTGGCTAGTGCAGACTGGTCAGTCCCGCCTCTTTTAGCTGCTTTTCTGCCCCAATTCCCCAGATGTACTTTGGAGACCAGGATATATATACTTCATACTTTCAAGATTCAAAGGTTTTATTGTCATATGCACAAAGCTACAGTGTAGAAATGGCAATGCACTTCTTGTGACCTGAGCTCCTCAAACAATGCAACATATATAATAAAATACAAAAATACAAAATAAAAAGTAGTGCAAAAAGTCTATACATGTCAATAGATGTAGAATATATAGAATAAATGTATTAATGAACACTCTGTTTCTTTTGCTATTTCATAACCTGGTGTCTGGCAGTATTCTAGTTTTATTTTGTCTTCAGTATTTCTTCACCCTCCTGTTGTGAAAACGGGCTTTTGTCCATGTTTAAATGCCAAGAAGGCAGCCAGTGGTTTATCGGAAATAAAGCTGTTTAGCTGTGTTCCCTATTTTGAAATGACTCTGCTCTAGAAGCAGGCTGACCTGGACTAAGAGCAGCAGAAGTAATACAGCGGTAAGCAGGCAGGCAATCTGATAGTAATGGGAGCCAAGGTGCTGGCCCCTGTGGCCCTTTGGGAGAGGGACACTCCCACCGGCCCCATGTCCACTCAGCCATGGCCATTAGCCTCTATAGGCCAGGAGAGCCCAACACCCTGAAGGTATTTTGGGAACGCTACACTGTGTAACCAACAAAGCACAGTTTGGGCAGAGGATTTTTTTTTTTTTGTGAAATAGCTGTTTGGATGTTTTTAGACACATTTTAGTGGCACTCAATTTGACAGATATTGATGTTTTTTTATCACTCCTGCGCTGGAATGATAAAAGCATTTTGATGCTTGATGGGTTGTCTTTTGTCAGAAAATGAGACACAATTTGCCGCATTTAGCTACTGATGATTCCCTGCTGTTCAGGACAAATCTATTAAACGTGTTACATGTTTTTTAGTTGAATCATATCTATTTAAATACACAAGAATAAATAGATTCAAAAAGTAGTCTTTAAATGTATTTTGTATCTTAAGAATCAATCAAGTAAGTTTGCTCAGTGTTAGATCACACATGACTGATAGTAATAGCTGTTAAATCCACCCTTATCTTCAGGTGGCTGTTTTTAGTGTATGGACATGTTTTGACCACAGGCAGATATGTATTTTACCAGCCTAAAGATCTGTTAAAAATACAGACCCATGGAGACTTCAGCAGAACTGACATTGGCAAACAGTGTGAACACTTCTCTGTGCACTGTTTCCATTGTCATTTCTCTAGGCAAATACTTTGAATAAACCTTCAGTTTGTCAGACATCAGGTTGGTTTCCAGCTTCCTTGTTTTCTAGTGAATGCTCCAAAAAGAATTTCCATCAAAAACTAATAAGGGCAACCTGTACTAGAAGTCCCCTCAAGCTTATACTTAACAGCATCTGAAAAACAGTACAGATTTACTATGTCAAGTTGATGTCTGGAAATGTGTTTGTGTATAGTATGGGCACAGCTTTTGCAGAGGAGACAGAGAAAACTGGAAGATACTGCTCCACTGTCTATGAGCTACTTCACTACCTTCTCACATTAGCATACAATACGGACGTACACTTTATCTCTCCTTAAACATTCCTCTAACTCTTACTTTAATTCAGATGTGTGAATACTTTTATTACAAGCTTGGACAGTTACAGCGTGTTCTTATTATACCCTAACTGGTCATTGCCATAAAACCGCAGCATGCAGAGTGAGTAAAAGATGATGGAAGGTGCAGAAAGTCATTTCCTGTAACTAGCCAAAATAAAGTCTGGCCAGCAGGAGTCAAAGAGAGGACATTTGTCATTACTGTAGTATCCACTGACCTTCACCGAGACTGTTATTGCTAGGTAATATCCTGCGAGCCCCTCGACCTTTCTGCTGCTGAATCATCCTGGATCAATTATTCTAATATTTGTGTGGCAGTTTTGCTATCGATTAATGCATTTATGCAGAGTGCAGCATATCTTATTTAATAAAGCAAGGCTCTGCATTTAATTAAGCCGTTTTAGTGTGAGGCGGCACTTTGTTTTCATAAACCTTTGCCTTATCGATACATGTGTTCATTCCTGACTTATGTTCATCCATTCAAACTTTTATTGTTTCATTACTGGCGGCCCAGCACAGATAACATAGTAAATGGCTCTCTGCAGCACACTCAATATGTTGTAGATTGTTTGCATCGTTAGTGGCTGTGCGCTATCATAAATACTGCATACTGATCATTATGGCAACTCTGTGCTTCTGGAAACTTGGACATTAATGGAAGTAGTTGTGTTGAGTAAATAAAACTTGATATTGGCTTGTTGTCTTTCCCCTGGTCTAGTAAAAATAGAATGATGTAGGCAGGCGTTAAAAGAGGGGTTTCAGATGAGTACATCTAGATTTTATACACCTTTCTGTGTGTAGGAAGAGGGTTGGTTTTACACATGTCTCCTCCTCTTCATACTGATACTGAAGTTAACTCTTCCTACTGTAGACCACTGTCATAAATGTGGGTCAAAATCCACATTCACTGTTCTCTAAATACATACGCTAGCTGTCAACCAAAGCTAGTGTGATGATTCAGAATACTCAGTGAGTCAGCTGGTTATTTTCCAAAGTTAGATTTTGAGTTCAAAATAAACTCTTTCCATGTGTCAGTGAAGGTTACTCACTGATAGTTGTGTAACCACAGGGTCTGAATAATGCTTTTTCCAGCAACACTTGAAAATGCTGAATATCAGTGGTGTTGTTCTTTGGACACTGGAGTTAATGTGCACCATCACACAACTGGTGTAAACAGGGTCGAGGGAACCTTACAAGGTCCTCTGTGAAATTCTGCTTTGGACCGCTAAAACCTTTTGTTCATAATCCTCAGCATGTATGAAAGAGTTTTTGGTTCTTTTGATGTGGAAAGGGGCAATACAAGTTGTTGCAGAACCTTGGCCTAGACACAGATCGCTGCAAATGAGAAGAGAATAAATATTCAAAGGCAGACATGAAGGGAATAAATGAAAACTCAGTGAAATGAGGAGCAGCGTGGACGATCCCGGTCATCTACCTGACGACTTTCAATGAATTCCAATGAGAGAGATTCCATTTTTTAAAGATAGGCCCTATAGGTGCAATTAGTGCTACATAATAGCCCCTCTCAGGCTCATTCAGCGCAGTTGAGAAATATTGATTTAATTCACCCCTATACATTCACTTAAACTCTGTAGAATAAATCTCCTTGTTATATTAGTTTGGAGTAATAGCTCAGGGTTTACTCGGTCATGGTTTTGTAAGTACAGATTGCACATATGGGGGTTTCTTTCTCCAGGGAAAGGGACAAGATAAAAGAGGTAAAATGGATTTAAGTGAGGAAGGAAACCAGTCTAAATGTGGTTTATAAGCCTGCAGCAGGTAGGTATAAGTGATGGGGTGTGTGCTCTCTAAAAATCTGATTGTTTTAGCTGGTGTGTGGAACAGCGAGGTAGTAGGTGAGAGAGAGAAGAGAGTTCTTGGAGTTCCTCTCTGC